ATATATATATATATATATATATATATATATATATATATATATATAGGAAAAAAAGCGTAGTTGTATTTTTGTACTGTGTATATATTCAGATCTTGTGGTCTATATCTCCTTGTCTTTTTAAAAGATATGTTGTGTTATTTAGTGTGCTAAAAAAACTGACACTAAAAATTGTGTAAAATTTCTTTACAGTTTTTTTTTTTTTTATAAATGTTCTCTTGAAACATAATGTAGGCATAGTTGATCAATTTTGTTTTTCTTTTTCAAATATTATTTGGATTTAAATGTGACTATAAATCCAAAATGTTATCATTATGTGGACCTTTTTTTTTCTATAAACAATACAACATGCTGCCTTCATTTTGAAAAGACAGTAATCTGACCGTAGCATTCTGAAACGCTAAAACATTTCAGTGGAGTGTTTTCATACTGGTTGCGGCTTTGATTTTTGTGCTGAGGTGATAAGTTTCCATCTGAGGACTGAACAGAATCGTTGCTGACATTTAAATGCCATTCAGCTGGTGTGTGAACCCTGCAGATTCATGAAAAACCTTTTTATGTGCAGGTGACGGCAGATGTGGCGCAGCTGCTGGGGGAAAACAAAGTGGATGCCATCCTGTGTGTGGCAGGCGGCTGGGCTGGAGGGAACTGCAGTTCCAAAGGTCAGAGTTCAAAACTTGTATTTGTTGTAACATTAATCATCAGCCAGCTTTGCTTCGGTTTTAAAGGCTTAAAATCGTGAGTTATGTTTGAGACTTTGTTTGACTGAATGCATGTAAAATTATTCTTAGTTCCCTCGACTGGTTTTCTGTCACTTAGAGTGGAAATGGAACAGTTAACCTAACTAAATTAATGAGATTGTGTATTGCTATCATCAATAATTGTATTAAAAACGTGAAAAAATAAATGTATTCTTACAATTTTTGAAAAGGGCACCTCCATGTTGCAGTACGCCATGTTGTCATTGGGTTGCTTGATGCTTCAGCTGGCAGTTAAATACATTGGATATACCAGCTGTACATCACAACCATAAAAAACTTTAAAAATTTGGTCTGATTGAAGAAGAAACTTAAAAGACACATTCAAGCATCTAAATCAGATTGCTTATGCTTTTGAGCCCATTTGGCATGTGACTCGAGCTATAGTAATGAGTGAAGAGGCAGCTGTGGAGCCATTGTTTTATGATTACTTGTGATTCCCCAGCAATCTTTGAGCTATAAAAACGTATTTTATTAAGAGGCTCCAAAGGAGAAAGTCGGAGAACTAAGCTCTAGTGATGGACGTTTGTGTTGAAGTTGGGGGCATAGTTGATGGCATAGTACCTGCCAACATAACTTTACATGTCTCTGCCTGCTTAGCTTGTTTTCGTACCCTGTCAATAAGGCTGATTGTGGGGCGTGCTTTGGTGGCGCAGTGGTTAGCCCACACAACCCCTGTATGGATGCTCAGTCCGGGCGACCCGGGTTTGAATCTGGCCTGTGGTCCTTTCCTGCATGCCTCTCCCCCTCTCTCATACCCGCCTCTACTGTTCATTAAACGAGCCACTAGTGCTGTAAAAACTCTAAATAAAAACTCTAAATAAATAAAAATAAGGCTGATTGTGTTGCCCTGTCATAGGCTGTGAAATTAAAAACACTTTGCCAGATTCAAAAGCCTTCTGCTTTGCATAATCTCTGCAACCAGTCTTCTATCGGGAGGCACGAATAGTCAGAAAACACTGGCTCCACAGCTGCCTCTTCAGTCCTTACTACAACTTGAGTCACATGCTGAATGGGCTCTAAAGCATAAGCTTTAGATGCTTGAGTGTCTTTTCAGTTTTCTCTTCCTTCATACAAAATTTCTTAAGTGTTTTATGGTTGTGATGTATTTCCAATGTATTCAACTACCAGCTAAAGTATCAACGAACTCCATGATGTCGCTGCTTGGAGTACTGCAGCATGGCGATGTCCCTGCCAAAAAATTATAAAACGATGCTAGTTTTTTTTTTGGTTTGTTTTTTTTTACAGTTTTACATTTTTTACATTTGTAATATAATAATTGATAAAAGTAAGACAGAATTTTGTAAATGAAGTTAGTTTCATTTTCACCTAAACTGCATTTATTATACTTTTTTAAATGATATAAATCAAAAGTCCCTCAGAACACAAGATGATAAGCATTCAGTAAGCTTCAGATTTAGAACAGCTGTCTGAGTTAACTGTTTTAACAAGTACGATACAATTCAATCTCAATATTGCCTTTGATTTCTTCAGATTTTTTCAAGAACTCTGATTTGATGTGGAAGCAAAGCGTGTGGACGTCCACCATCTCCAGCCACCTCGCTGCTCGCCATCTGAAATCTGGGGGGCTGCTTACTTTGGCAGGAGCCAAAGCAGCTCAGTCAGGCACTGGAGGTGGGAGACAGTTTTATTGAATTTACTACTTCCATTGAAAACGCGCTGATTTGCTTTGCTCTGATTCAGAGAGTCAAGCTTTGTCGTGGATCCTTAAAACACTGAGCAGAGAAAAGAGAATCTTAAAACCTGGGATGATCAGTTGGAAGGGGAATATACTGAGGAACACATTAATGTCATGCTCCTAATGCCTGGAACATATTTAATCCACTGGTTTAATGCAGCATGAATACCTTTAGGGGTGAACAGGTGGGAAGGTTATTAAAAAGAAATAACTAAGCCACATTAAAATGGTGGATGCTGAACATAGAGATTAATAAAACTTTGTTGCTGATAAAAACTAAGAATTTAAAGTTGTATCTAGTAGCTAAAAAGGCTACTCATTTTCTAGGGTTTATTTTATCCATCAGCTAAATCTTATCAATAGACCACTATAAAATATATTGCATTGGTAACCTAAAGAATATAAACAGAAAATATGTTGATAATATTTTTAATAATGAAATCTGATCCAAACCTGCATGGTATTCTGGGAGATGTAGGCAGAGTAAAGGTTTTAACCTTTCAACCTCTCACAGCTAAAATAAGCAAGATTAGTGGGCAGGCTAACCTCTTTTATGTTCAGATAGTGTTAGGGTAACAATTTTATTCTGCCCTTTTTCCTGGTTGATATTACAAAACACTAATCAAAAATTATTGAAGTATACTGATATGAAAGGCTTATATCAGGCAATTTCAGCTATATTGCACAGTCCTACAACAATCACAAAGCAGGAGGGCATTAACTCATCTTAATCATTAGGTTATTTTTTGTTTTTTTATTATATAATGCAGCCATTCTCATCTTTTTTATCAAAACTAATAGATATTTATGGATGTTAATAGGAAAGGAAAATAACAAACAATTTCAAACGTTTACATTTATTTGTATGTTTTAGTTGTCCAATGTGACAGCGAATATGTTCATCTTTATCATGTGACATTGGCAAGATTGATCTGCCTCTAAAGCAGCCTCTGAATTGGGGGTTGTGTCTTGTTCAGAGCACATGTGATGGGTCCAACATTAGCAGCACAAAGCTGTGCATCAGCACTCCTCTCTAAGCCAAGGCGTTCATTGGCCGTTGCTTTAAGGAGGGTAATGACTCAGCAGTTTAGGTTAACATCAATGGAGTTTAACCACACTGAATAGATAGAGGGTTTTTGAATTGGAAGCATCTGCTTTTAAGCAAAAGAGGGGGAAAAAAAAACAGAAATCAGCTTTTATTGATTACAAGTCATGGTGAGAGGACAAATGTTTGCATGTTCAAAATAAAAAAAAAATCCTTAGAGGATTTAATCATACGTTGTTTTTTTGATGGAACAATTGGCATCTTTGCTGTATACTGATCTTCAAGAAAAGCTGATTAAGGGAGACATATTTGTATTGAATTTTCCATTTTGTAGCTTGTGGATACATTTATTGGAATATATATATAATGAAAAAGCTATCTAGTTATTGTTAAAGCTTCTACAGTGCTATGACAAAAAAAATTGCTGATCTACATTGACCTCTATGTAGAAGTAAGGCTACGTTCACACTGCAGCCTGAAGTGACCAAAATCCGATTATTTGGCCCATATGCGACCTGTGTCTGATCTTTTCATGGCTGTCTGAACAACACAGATCCGGTTTTATTCTGCAAGCTGCCCTTGTGATGCCCTCTGTGGGTTGAATGGTGGCTACTGCAGTCGGAATTTTCTGAGAATGCACAAAAAAATTCAGGCACCGAAAATGTGTGAGTTTTCTGTTTTTGGCCAAAAAAGATGCTCAACACCGGATGACGCATCAAAAAGGAAATCCCAGCATGCAGGATTGTAAGCAAACAGCGCAGCAAGCTTATGGAAATGGGATAAGTTCCAGCATTTCTGCGATGTGGAAATACCAGGGATGGCAATTTGCAAAACTCAAAGGGGGCATCTGCAGAGAGTTTCTCCATGTCGGGTTTAATTTATCACCTGGAATCCAAACATCCCCATCTCCATTCTGAACATGAGGAAAAATGAGATGCAGAAAAGGAAACTGACACGGAGCGCGTTCATCCCATCTGTGTCAGATGTTTGAAAGGACAAGAAAGTTTCACACATTTCGGAGTTGAGTTGAGTTTGTTAAAAGGCTTTACATTATGATATGTTCTAGTCCTACAGAGAAATATTTAAAAGGCACTTAACTTATGCACTTTGGGTTCTTAGAAGAGAACATATAATTTATTTTTAAAGTCTTTGTGCAGTCCAGTCAGTCATAAGCCTATACATTATTTCATGTATTTAATGTCCACATGAGTGGGGCCAAAGTAGATATGTTATTTTTAGTTTTGATTTATATTGTGCATTGCTGAAATGTCAGTTAAATTAATAGTTTGATGCTTTTATTTTAGTGAGGTTAATACAAAATTTAGCCTAAACTGCTATAGGTCTGATAACTGACATTTATTCTGGTGGTTTCCCTTTTTTTAGCAGATTTATTTTTTGTGGATATGATATAAATACAGTATCAATATATATCATAATAAAAGCCTCAGACTACCAAGAATGCCCACAAAATGATCCAGTACACACTTCTGATAATTATTTTTATTCAACTTTATACAATTTTGTCTGATATAATATTTAAGAAATATTTACATAAAAAAATTATTTAAAAAAACCCCCACATAAAACTACATAAAGTCAGGCAGACCACGACATAGGCTGTAATCATAAACTGCAATGTATATAGAAATATCAGAAAAAGTTATTGAACAAGATTATATTGCAATATATATTGATACCCTTCATTTAGTCACACACTGTTCTTTTAGAATTTTTTTCATTATAAGGTGGTTTTTTTTTTGTTAATTTTATCTCTATTGTTGATCTCATGTTGTTGGGCTGCTGTTCATAAACAAGGTTTCAGTGGGGCTGTTTCAGAGGCTAATTGGATTTAACTCTGGATTAAATTAAAGCAGTTTTCATTGACATTAAACATTGTTGAAACACGGTGCTGCATGTGTGGAACTGGAGGCTCAATTTCTTTTTCCTGAACAGATAAATGCATGAAAGCAGCCACAGTTGTGAGTTTGCAAATTTTTTTTCTTTCTCTTGCACCTTTTGCCTTGGTGTTGATTTTTTCTCTTTTAGCGGAAAACAAAAACTCTAGCAAAGCCAGGCAGCCGCCCCTTGTTCCTATTGGTCAGTGGTTTGTAAGCCAGTCAGGATGGTTGAGGGGGGGTAGCAGATGCTTGGCATTCCTGTTTAGAGGCAATGAGAAGAGGGACTGACAATTTCCAGATGCGGAGCATCTAAAATACAGCCAAATTTCACATTAGAAATAGCAACTCATTTTGTTTTCAAGTCAAGTCATATTCCAGTTTTTCTCTTTTACATGAATATTTTTATATATTATATATTGTTATAAAATTATTCAGGAGTTTGACTCAAGCTCTTGTACTGTTTAAAAAAATCTATAATCTCTTATATGAGCATCTTTGTTGTTTCGCTAACATTCTTCAGCTGGTGTACTGTTTTTCTGTTAAAACTTAGAAGCACACAAATCTGATGCATAATTGGTTATTTAGATCATCGCCCAGAACTGTTTATGTTTACAGATGGTTTGAAATCTAATTCTTTTCCCCTCATGTTCTCATCTGTGCTTCTTTTACTCTGACCTCTGGCTTTTTAGGATCTGTTTTTTCAAAACTGTATCCACCTGCAACCGTAGATTTCAGAACCAAGACCTGACCCATTACCTACAATAATCCCCATTTAAAACCCGTCCGGGACCGCACCAACCCATAAATGATAACGTGTGACCTGACTCATGATCACAAACTGTACACACACAGCTGCTTATAATAACAGAGGGAGAAAAGACCATCGCCTCAAGCTCACAACCGGTACCCACTGCGCTCACAGATTAGCTGCTGTAAATTGGCCGAAGTAAGAAGGTTGCCTCATTGCTTAAAAAATACCGTTATCTGGATATTGTTGAATCAATTTCTTTATTAAGATGTTGATATATTAAGAAAATATAAATGAGTTTCATTCATGTTGAAACTATGATACTATCATTTTGTTCATATATATCTGTGGGTTATAGGGGTATTCATCCGCAAATATTACCTTGTGGAGAATAGTTGTTGAATTTACAAAGTCATTTACATGTAATATAAAGAGAAGTGGTCCCAATATGGAGCCCTGTGGACCTCCACATGTAATAATTTAGCTTAGAGATTTACTGTTATTTATTTTGTACATACTGCTCACTTTCAAATAAGTAAATGTGAAGTATGTTTTTCACCACCCAATCAAGTACCTTTGTAAAAGTTGGTCAAATGGATATTGGTCGATAATTTTGTCATTTGTTTTTATCACCACCTCTGTGAATTGGTATAATTTAGATATAGTATAGTATAGATAGATGTCATTTTATTTGTTGGATGATCCAAAGAAGTGTTTGGCAGCCTGCATCTCACCCATATAATTTATTAACATCAATCATCTAGACTGCGTGTGCTCTGTTATCTCTCTTCTGGGCTCTAAAGTGTTTGATCTGTTATCTCCAGGTATGGTGGGTTATGGTATGGCCAAAGCAGCCATCCACCAACTGTGTCAGAGTCTGGCATCAAAGAACAGCGGCATGCCGGCAGGAGCGGCAGCGGTCGCTATACTACCGTAAGTGCCTTTAATTAAATTCATCAGCAAACTTCAGAAATGCAAATTTCACATGAAACTTGGTGAATATTGAATCATTTAATTCTTGCAGTGGAATTGCTCTTCTCAATGCTGGATTTAATTCAGATTTGCTGAGGTTGCGCTGCTAAATAGCATATGCTTTCCTAAGAATCTTTTATTTTTTTAAAGATCTTCTTAATATTTAGATTTCAACATTGAAGTTGATGGTCTAAAGATCTGTTTTTATGGTCGATGGTGTCTGTTTGTTTTGGGACACATTTTGTTGACCTTTTTTTAAATAAATTGTTTTTTCATATGCATCAACTCACTCATCCTCAGCCGGTGCTACTTAAATGGACACAGCTGTTGTATGGCAGAAAATCAGTGCAGGTGTGCTGGAAAATAAGTTACGCCACTTATCTTTTGTTCTGTTGGATGTTTAAGCAGGACACCAATATCACCCTACATGTGTAATTATGTACACTCGATCTGCTGTTGATGAAAGATTAACACAAATTTCCACAACATCGTTTATTTTAGTGTAGTTTTGCACTGTCCTTATGAGAGCAGTTTTATTGAGGGGTGTATCTGGCTCCTGCTCTCTCTTTGGTTCAATTTTTACTCTCCCAGCCCGAGGCCACACAGCCTCCCTCTCCAGCATTTAGTCACATCTGTTTAGCATTAGCTATGACTTGCATTTCTTTAACAGGCCTCTTCTTCATTCAAAATCACTGTGTTTCTGCTGAGTTTGATGTCATAGACTAAAAGCCAGACAATATCTTTGGGTTAAAATGTTGATATTAGCTTATCTGCATCAGTTTCATCTTGTAACGCTGTCTTTGAGAAGACCAAAGGGGCCGACAAGCAAAACAAGCAAAAACAGCCTAATTTAGCTGCTTTTGTTTCACTCCTTGTGTTAAGGGTTTGCAAATGTAAATGGATGATCCTAGAAATGTATGGACATGAAAATGTAATCTTTACTGTAACTTCACTTGACATCTTCTGTAAATGTACTTTACGTAGCTCACACTGTAGCCACTGACTCTGAGACAGACTTGAAATCCTGACACTCCTCTAACAGTGTATGATATTTATTTGTGGAGATGCCGCCAGCGCTGTTTCCTCTCTGCTGCTCTGATGCAGCTCCTCACCCTGACTCTTATCTGGCTTCATTTGGCAGCGTTACCTTGGATACACCGATGAACAGGAAGTTCATGCCTGATGCAGACTACAGCTCATGGACGCCCCTGGAATACGTAGCAGAGTGAGTACCAAATGGAGGCTTGATTTTTTTTCCCTTTTCAGTTTTATATCAGGATTAGTATATTTATGTTTATTGTTATCTGTTTTTATGTCATTATGTGATATATTAAGTATATTTTCATAGGATATTACCACATCAGTTAGAAACAAAACACTGATTTTAAATTAGAAAGCTGCCTTCTCTTTTTACCTGGCTCATGTTTCATGGATTTCTTATAACCTCCTTTATTGGATTGTTTTATTAGTTTAAAGTGTAAATTGTTTTTAAATGACTTTATGAGCTTATATATGCTTATGATAGAACTAACATGAGTAACATTTACCAATTCCATATGACTCCTGTTAAAGAAAATTCTAGGTCTAGTGTCTATGAAAATGGCCCAGATCATAGGGGTGGATGTGTTCAGTCTGTTTCTATATTAAATTTAGGGCTGCAACTAACGATTATTTTAAAAATCGATGAATCGGCCGATTATTTTTTCGATTAATCGATGAATCGGACAAAAAATATTTTTTATATTAACCTCTTTATTCCAAAATAAACATTTTAGACAGAACAAACAAGCACACAAGTACAGGTTGCTCATTAACTGTAC